ATATGAATATTAAAGTTACTCATAAACATTTATTTGTAAATTTCAGAATGTATTCACATTAATACAATGAATGAATATGATAAATAGTATGGTCATTATAATATATGTAATTAAAATATCGAAGTTATAAATAATTATATTTTTATAATGAATTATCACCATTTAATAAATTTTGATAGCTTGATGCGCTTTTTGTTTCCTTTCACTAATCAACAGGTGTCCCAAGTTGTTACTTCCGGGAGATCCAGTTGCTTATTATGCTTTTTTAATTAAAAAAAAAAATTGGCATTGACTTCCATGAAACAATTGAAGTATGCAAATATTGCGAGAATTTTCAGGAGATGGGTTATTTTGGGGATATTCTTGAGGGGCAGATTTAGGGGAGGTAAAAAAAAAGAAAAAATTAAGGCACAGAACGCCTCAAATTTTCGGGCGTCTAGAACACAAAATGTTTGCGGGGAATGCCCTGGGCCCCCTAGGACAGTGTTGTCTCAATCGGTTCAACTGTCGCGCCCCTCTTTCGGTCCCCCTTTTGAACATCTCTAAATCCGCCCCTGCTCTTGCTCGTTTGCGGCCATGAAGACCGTCCCAATTTCCGGGAGACTAACATGATTTCCAGGAGACTTGGGGCCCCTGCTTTGATGCATCTCACTCTTCTAAATATCACCATCATTGAGGATAATGTTTGTTTTAGAATCATATCTCATTAGCTCATAAAGTAGACTCATTATCTTTCTTCATCTTGTAATCATTTCTCGTTAGATCAATAATTAGACTTGTTATCATCTTCATCCTCTTGTTTAACATTTCATTCTAAGAAATCATTATGTCTTAATTGTTGTCTTTATTAAGTTATTTAGTATATTGCTCATTGATTATTTTCCTAATTTAAGTCAAGAAAATTATAAAATGTTGATTAATTTAAATAATAATTTTTTTGAATATCCACTCTAGGTACAGTATGTAATTTAATAATTACAAAATGCTACATTGTTTCATTATTTTAATAATTGGTATTTTACAGTATATTAATCAATCAGTTTTAAAAATCGGCATATAAATAGTGCATTAAACTAAATGCTTCCAATTTTAAATTAAGTTGAAATTATATAAAGAAAAATTATTTACATGAAAAAAGCTAACTGGTTAATCTTTTTACATTTAAAAATTTACATTAATTTACATTAAAATACAGGTGGCTCTATAGAGTCTAATATTTTTTTATATATATTCTGAAATTATAATGTTATATTTATTAATCCATTGTATTAGCTCCTGGACGCAAATTTTGACTGTATCTTGTTGTATTGTTGACAATAAATTTTCCTTGATTCCTTGATTAATCACCATTTTGAAAATATTAATATTAAAGAATGTCATATGCAAATAGCTCACACTTCATAATTTTTTCACTGCGATGAATAATGTAATTTATTTTGTTTATCCTTTTTTATGTGTTGAAGTGATAAATGCAGAATGTTTAATTGTCCATTCTGATCATCATTTGTAATATTATGAATTTGATTTTTTTTTCTGGAATTTGTTTTTTATTTTTCAATTCATTTTTTGATGTTTCATCAGTGAAGGGACTGAAATATACAAATCAAAGTGAGATTGGCGAATCGATACAATTAGAAGAAAACGGGAATTCATCTGGTGAGTGCTGGGCTTCTAGTCATCAGATATCCTCTCAAAGCTCCCAAAATACACTAAAAATAACCAATAACTGCATGCCTCATCATCATTAATGTATCAACTTTTTTGTTTTGTACTATGGAAAAGAGAAGCTTAACTGTGACTCAAATGTCATTTATATAAACCATGTTATGAGCCTCTGTTCAATTGACAATTGAGTATGTCTGACATTTTATAAATAAAACTCTCAATCTCTATTTTGATTTTGACCATTTTGTTTTAAAAAAATACAGTAATATGTGACTACAATGGCATATTTAAATTTATTCATTTAAATATGTTATTTTTAATAGTTTTTGATTTTTGAAATAAAAGACATTTTATAGTGACTCATAATGGTTTAAGAAGACATTGCATTAATGACAATCTCTATTTTTTGCATAATATGGTATTCTGTGCTCTCAATTTGCTAGACTACTACTACTTTAATATCTACTACTTCTATTGTAATAACTTTCTTGTTAAAACCAATGCTTATACTGCTTTGCCTAATTAATCACTTTAACAATTATAGATTTAGATTGATGATTTTTAAATCTCAATTGAAATAGTAGCCTTAGTATAACAGAATGATAAATATCAATAAAACTTGATAAAGAACATTCATTCTATGCTTTCGTTAGATTGTAGTATTTTTTACTACAGTGTATCATATATTACATTATGTAATGAATATAACATTAAAGGGGAAAACTTGCATGTCTTGGAGAAAGAAAACATAGGTATCCTGAACAATAGTTTACTTTCAATGTTGATATATATAAAGAGGTTTTGAGCTTATAGGATAAACTCAATAATATCAATCTTTAGTATAGGTAGCTGCAGTATAAGACATTCCATGAAACTAATATAAACTTGTAAACTAAAAGAGAGAAACTGGCCTACCTCTGCATCTACATGTACACCTACTTAAAATGATTTTTTCCAATTGCAAATTTTGGAAGCTCTACCTGTATGCTTGTTGCCGTTTTCTTTCCTCCTCAAATTGCATTCCTTTCAGTTTTCCAAAAGAATTTCAACAAATTAATTAATTTAATTTTAGGTATTGAATGACTTAGCAAATTGTTAGTATAGAACTACAGCGTACCATTTATCCAAAAAAAATTGTTACGTAAGCAACAGTCAGATACAACCATCCTGTTAAATATATCAGATGGTTACAATCTTTCCTTCATTCCAATTGTACAACACATTTCTATTCAGTGTTTGACCCTTCCATGATATTTCTTTTTAAAGTCCAAGCACTTTTTTTAAATAAAATTCTTAAACGTCATTTCATTTTTTCTTCTGTTTGCATCTGAAAGTAGTTCACCATACCAAGAATCTACCATCTAGCATGATTGTTGTTGTTATTCACCATTATGTTTTTTGTTCAATAAATCATTTCATCTTCATTTTCTCTCTTCCCTGATTTGAAAGACACCCAGTCAGTTTCAGGCATAGCATTGCGTATGTATGAATAATGAGTAGTTTTTATTTTGTTTTTATTATTTATTTGATTTTTTTAGATGTGCATATTTTTCAGTGCTGTCAGCTAAGTCCTAAGTTAATTGTATTCACTATAAAAATGTGTTTGCACAAAAAACTGTATACAAATTATATAAGCAAATGTTTGTCTGTTTTCTAATAACAGTTATTCTAAGCTCTATTTTGTTGTCCAAAATACATATAGAATTATTTCGGATTTTCTGCTGTACTTTGGAAACAAGGCTACAAATTTACTTTTGTTTTTTAAATGATATTTCTGTTGCTGATGTCAACTAAATCAGGAGTTTAGCAGATGCTATGGATTGTTATCAATATCCAAAACCTTCAAGTCAATATATTTAGCTAACTTGACTTCATCCACATTTTTTTTTTCATTTCAAGGCATTCGTGTTATAAATTTGAAGTGAAAGCAATCATTTTAAATATTACATAATATCATGTAATAGAAAATGTCTTTTTCAACAAGTTTGTAATACCTTTTAAATTATCTTTGAATGTTTATAAAACAGGTGATGAATCTTTGCTTTGAATGGCAAAGCTCATGTTTATGTCAGTAATCATGCCCCTTTCTCCTTCCCCATAAAGCGCTTTTGAATTATTATGTCGGCTGCCAATAATTTTCCCCCTTCCATATCACTTGCGCTTACGTATCACTACGTCCGCTACCAACTATTCAATATTTTTAGTATCATCATTATTATATATAGTTATCAGTACAGTATATCTATTGTATTCATATTTATTTATATATTGAACATTGAGTTTTGATATATTTCCACCATGTTGCTTTATAATATCATTTATATCACTTTCAGGATTTTTAATCTAAATGTGACATGCACTTCCATTTTGAGTTATATTTAAAATTATTTATATGTATTTGAAGATTATAAATATGTATGTACTATCATGAGTGTGGATATGATAATTACATGACCTGACTTTATTGCAGATTTATTTTGGTGTTGGTTTGTATTTTGCTATGTTGTAAAAATATTTTGTTCGGTTTATGTTTTTTTCTTTAAATAAGGAGTTTATGTTATTTGTTTAAAATATTACTTTTTAATTGAATTATATGGTCCTTGGGTATGGTGCATAGTAAGATGCTTACTAATTTTCATATTGAGTAGGTGTATAAGCTAATTAAGTTGATGTGACAGATGGTGACAAGTTTAAAGATCATACTACTAATAAGTAATAAAAGTCTAAATATTATTATATTTGATTAGTGAGTATTTTTAAGCAAATTTCAAAATTAGAAATTATATTATCTAAACTTTGTGCTATTTTAATATTATCCAGATTATAATTATTTAAATCTCATAGGTTGCCAACATCAAAGCATTTTGATCTTTTAAATACCATAGCTTTAATCTTTTATTTATTTCATCTTTGAAAAAATAAAGCTACAGATTTTTCTCAAGAGGTTTTCTCTAGAGAACCTGTTTTGTTGAAAAATTGCATTTAGAATCTTTATCTAAGTCTGTGTGACAGCATACATAATTTGGTAGCGGCACTTACACAGATTATAGGTAAACAGTTTAGAAACAGCTGTATCCATAAATTTAATCTTAAAAAAACTGCAACTTTTGAGGTATATTGTACAGTATAACAGTGCTATTTTCTTATCTGTCTTCTTTTTTTCTTTTGTATGGTTTTTAATATATTTTTTATTTCATTTGTGTAATTCTTATCATTTAGGCTTTCTATGTGGCCAAAAATATATGTTTAATATTTATCATTGTAAAGATAGGAAGACATTAAGAAGAGAATGCTCTTGAAGCAGACTTTAAGACCTGGTTTACTTGTTAAATCTGCCAACATATCAGTCATTCAAACTGTGATATAACCTAGCATCAACTTGCATCTAAATTTAAGATGTAGCGTAAACCACTTTGCACAGTTGTTGCCTGCAATAATTTAAGGGCAGGAGCTGTTGCTGTTAATGGTTATACCTTATTTCTAAATGCTTTGTGCTAAAATTCTCTTAGATTTGTGAAATTTCAGCTAAATTTTCTAGCATTGGCACTTTACTTACAGTATTTGGAGTTTTCAATTCCATATATAATTTAACATTTCAATAAAATTAATCTTTACAATATTACAGTGGATATAATGTGCATTATAATGTAGATCATCTTACTATTTATTATAATACTCTGATTTTTTTTATACATATTTATTTAAGATGTTTTTATTTCCACCATTTATCCTGTTGTTATGTGTTGTAATCACTCATTAGACATGTGTTTATATATCTGTTGTTTCAGTTCTTATGTTGTTTCATGTCTGTGTTTATTTGGCATCTGACGTTCTTTGAATTAGGATAAAATCATTGCTGGTACTAAAGTTTTTAGGTGTTGCCAGACTCAGAGTAACTTTCTTAAATTGCATTTTTAACAGTTTTTCTATAGTATCTGTTGTAACAGATCATCTAGTAAATCCTATGCAAATGCATATTCATGCTTCATTTGTATTTTTCATAACATACTTCATGCATAAACATTCATTCATATAGAAATATGTATCTACACACTTGCGCATACAATTGATATACATGCATTTATATATAATGTATGCTTGCTAAAAAATATATAATTGAATTTATAACACATGCATAATATTTATACATTCATACAAATGTCATTTCATTTATTTATTTGACATCAAACAATCCAGGGGTTGCATCAGCAACAATGCGCCATAACACGAATGTGTCTGCAACCCCTGGACAAACAACAGATTACATTGTTAAAATTCAAATATTTACAAATTCAATAAAAAAAAAAATTCAAAGACCAACAAATAGAATGTTGAATCATAGAACGTATAACATTGAAAGTGCATGCATACATTTATACATACAGTAGCTTACCATAGTTTATAATTTGGAAACATGATATTGGCCTATTTTTGTTGATAATACTAATGCTAAATATGATATATATATGTTAGTATACCTAAATATTATGATAGGTATATTTATCATTCTAATTGAAAGTGATAAATTTATAATTATATTGCTAAATTCTATTGATGGGTGATATCTGTATAGTGTATTGATATATTTTGAATGAAGTTTCATCATCTACTGAATTTGAAAATTAAATCAGTTACTGCTTTTTTCTTTTCATCCTTTATAAACATCAGGTTAGTGTGGTGCCAATTTGAAGCAATTTATATTTGTTATAAATGCTAAATCTAGAATGTATTTTGCTTACATTGAAATGAGCGATAATGTGTGTTCGTGTTAGCATGCCGCTTAGCATACCTATTAGTGAATCCGTTAGGAATCATACCAAGATTTTTTTATTACATATTTAGCATTGTATGTTTTTGACAAAATAAAATGATTAGCTGTAAATAATATTACTTGTATTTGATTATTTTTGAAGCAGAAATATTTAAAAATGAGAAATTTAGGAGCAAATCTCAAAACAGCATAATGTGAAAAATTTCAAGACAATATATTTTCAATAGAAAAATAATTTGGGAAAAAAAAGGTTTAATTTGTATGTGAAAATGCACATGTGCTATTATTATTTTAAATACACATGTGCTATTATTATTTTAAATGCGCATGTGCTATTATTACCGGTATTTTAAATACACATGTGCTATTATTATTTTCATAATATGCATGAATTTAAAAAAAATATATTTTATTTTATCAGTAGTTTGCAGTTTATAGTTTGGTTTTAACTACCAATATCCCCAACTCTTATGGTATCAGGCAACCTAAATTCACCAATTTCATACAGCGACCTAATCATGGTCTCCTGTCTCTCACATACGTACCAGGGGCAGTACCAATAGGAGGTCATATACTCTCCCCCCAGACCTCTGATGCCACAACGAGGTTGTTAGACTAAAAATATTAATTTCCCACCCAAACAAGTTGTTGTGATTGCCAATTATTAATATAGTGGTCTAAAAGTGAAATTTTGGGCCACCCTAAACCATAAGATCCCTTCCTGTGGACCCCCTAGGGATTTTATCTTGGCAGCACCTTGATTCAAATCCCTCTGTTGGACTTGCTGGAGCCAACACTGATACCTCCTTCCCCCAAAACCAAGTGACCACTTCCCATAGAAACACTATTTCAAATAGAGTTAGAGTAAAGGTATACTTGGATAACCCAAATGCATAATCAAATCCCATTTTCTCCAACATTTCCAGCCCAAATGCAATACCACACTAATTTCTCGTACCTACTGTACCCCTCACTGTACCTATGCAGCACAATAATTTTGTTGAAGGCAGTTTGCCTGTTATGTATACTGTGTGTACTAATGCCTGATTTTTGCCCACTTTGCAATCCATAGTCATGCATGACACAGGGCCATACGAGAGCCGTATGGGAAGACGTAGAAACCGCAGAGGTAACATTTTTGAAAATGATGCCCTAAAATGGATGTGTTTTATTTCTCTGTTACTAACATGGTTTATTATACAATATTCTACTTTCCCTATTGGACAAGTTTATTTTTAATAATCAACTAGCTATGTTCACACAGATGGTTAAATTGATACCAAAACTCGCCTCTACAAACTAAACTAACCACCACCACATACAGTAGGCAGCTCTATTTTAAATTCTACAAATCAGTGGATTTTACTACCAAGTGTTAGTTACTTACCATATTGATGATTTCAGTCAAGAAATTGAGTAGGCCTATTTTCAGTGTAGTTTACTTACCATACACTGTGATAAAAACATCTTTAAATTACTTATTAGAGAATTTACATACAAATACAATGGTAAGTCTTCTCAGGTAAGGACTTTAAACTGTAGGCTCAGTGTACGCATTTGGCTCGTGTACACTTTAAAGAACTCAGTACATCCTTTGAGAAGAGTAGGGGGTTACCCTGGTGTACTGGTCCATTAAGTGTCCTGTTGTTAAATGGATATGCCACATAGGCATATCCTTGGCGCTCGTGCCTAAAGAAATGAAATAAAATGAAATTGAAACACTGTATTGAAAATGTGATATTTGGCTGCTAAGCACTTACGTAGTGTGCATTCATGACCTGTGTGGACATAGATAGCTCTGTAGTTTTATTTCCTAAGTGTATTGTATTTATACATATATATATATATATATATATATATATATACATATTATATATATGTAATGGTATGTATATTACATATACATGCAAAGTATTTAGCTCCATGGTGTATAATAATTCATTGATCATGTTTTAAAATTTTGCACCTTTTCTTTGATTTTTCTTGTGTGTGCACTTTCCAGTCATCATAGGTGATGTCTGCCATCGGTGCTTATTCCTAACAACAAACTCACCAATCATCAAAACACAATTGTCATCTTTATCTATAATCTCTTTCATACCTATAATAACATTTACTAGCCTTTATTAATATCTTATAATTTAATAACACTATTGTATAGTTTAAATTCACTATAAAATATATAGTGTATTAACACTATATTATTGTTTAATAGTGTATTATATAGTTTAATCTATATATTTAGGTTATTCCACCAATTTTTTTTTTTTTTTTTTGATGTTGCTATGATCATCAGCTTCTTTAAGACTTTCTGTTTGGAAGTTGAAAATTATTTTCTTCAGATATTGTTTTATGCAGTTTATTGCTATGGCAACTGAAAAAGGCATGGTGTATGTAATCCATGGTAACTACATGTTCATTGGTGAAATTATTTAATTCATGGTGGGATATTATTTAACAAATGTGTTATTGTGTTTTCTAAGTTTCATCTGTATTTTCATAATATATATTACAATGGTCATTGTTTTTATAACAGACAACTTGTTCAATGGTCTTTCTCAAAAGCATACTCTATTTAACACAAGATGTACTGGAAGTTATTTATCATGATACCATTATTTGTAATTCTATATTACAGGATTGTTTGGATTTAGAAGAAATTAATTGTTTATAAACTATGAATACTCAAATAATTGTCATGTTCATGATATTATTGTATTTATTGTTATTTTTTATGATTCAATAACAAGATTGTTTTGTTTTACCATTAAGTCAGCTATGGCCAATTGTCATATAAAAAATAAATAGTACAGGTCAATAATTAGTCAACTTATACAATATTAATTTAATTATATCATGTGAGATACTGATATCCATTATATTCAAGATATTTGTTTCTACTTTTTATTATTGTTATTAATACTATCCTTTTGTATCATTACCATCGGTTTTTTTTAAATTTATTTTTGATTTTTACCATTATTGTTATTATTATTATTATTATTATTATTATTTATTTTATTATTATTACATTCATTTTCATTATTATAATTGTTATATTTTTATCATTCTAATAACAGGGAATACTCTTATACAAAGAACATATTTACTGGGATCCAACTATTGATTTTTTTGCTTGCATCGATATTTTGCATTGTTTCTTCAGCTCCCATAGAAGTAGATAAAAAAGGGCGTTTATATAAAGCTAATAAATCTCACAACTGTGGTGCTGCTAAGAAAAGATATAAGTACGGAACGGTACCAAATCTTCCAATGGAGGTTAGCTTCTTGGCCGCATCAGGCAAGTTAGAACATAATTAAATAATTTGCTACGGACCACTCCACTCCACGGTCAGGTGCATGATGGGAATTAAAGGTCAAAGGTCAATAGCTTTAGTTTTGGAAAAAAAAAATGTTATATCATGATTCACGAGGCATGCAATATAGATAACACCATTTATTTTTATCTTTATTTTTCATATTTTCAGTAATTTAGTTTTTGATGACCACAAAGCTTATTAATGTTATAGGTTATAAATCATCTTACAAGGTTGTACAGATTAAATTCTTTTTAACTAATGATAAGTAACAACAGGGAGTTTAAAGTTATGATTCAATATTGTATGTAGCATTTTAGAAGGACATAGAATTTGTTCATAATAAGATGAGAAATTATAGCACAAAAAAGCATGCATTAATTTATGTTGCTTTAGTTGTAAATGCAATCAGGGCCATTGGTGTTGGGTGCAATTAAGTCTAGGATATCGATGGTGGTAAATGCATTCAAGTGTGGTGTATCTGTGGGCGGTGCTTTTTTGTCTATGGCATCAGTGGTAAATGAAATCAGTGGATATTAATGGCATGGTACAATCACACCTGGATGTAGAAATCAACAATATTGAAAATTACAAGTTTGTTAACATGTCATAAAGAAAGTTATTTTTCTAAAACCTTTCTTATTTGTAGATTTTTAAAAATGATTTTTTTGCTTGGTGTTTTATATTGTTGACACTTAGCAAGGCGGATAATGGTTAAAAACCGCAAACCATCCACATAAATACATTTCATAAATGCCTGCCCGACATACCAAGTCCCACACATTGAACGTGAAACTCACATATCTGATGCCTTTCTCAATTTCAATTATACATTCGCCAAGTAAATATATTGTAATTTCCAACCCGTAGTATAGTATGTTTGTTTTTTAACCCTATGTGAATCACCTAATATGAATTATGTAAATATAATATAGAACCCTTGTGTAAAAAGTAGAATTCAATATTTTTTCTTCTTTTAAAAATATATTTCTGTTGCATCATTTGAATTGTCTCTCTTCAGGAATGACATAGATATAATATATACTTATAAAATCTTTTATAAAACAATATTAATCTCATTGTTTTACATATATTTTATATAAAAGAGCCGTCTTTGTTTTTATGTCTTTTATGTGTTTCAGTAGATTATATGATGTATTTTCTGTGTATTGTTCAAGTATTTTTTTCTAATTATCTCTAAAGTCAGTTTTGTTATTTACTATTGGTTGACAAGGTAGAATGTGATATCTGCACATAATATTTTTATAACGTGCAAGAGTCCAATAATATTCCCACTAACCTGTTGTTAAAGGTATTATATATAAGTTCAAATAATCAAATTGCTGTACCATCTTCTTAGACTAGACTTTGTTACAGAAGGATTATGGAAACCTGTGTAGCAACTTACCCATTAGTTACGTTTCAGATATTTTGGCATGCTCAATGCTTCATTCAAGTCTGCACATGATTCAAGGCCTTTACATAGCATGCTGGTCATGTGGCTCCCCATTCATGTCTACAGTAGCTATTCAAATTCAACACGCTGCATTTCAAGGTTGTAAAAATGGTAGTATGAAAGTCACCATTTCTCTGATACATGGATTCTAGGATCGAAACTAGTAGCACTTTGCACATTATCTTAGCACATTATGTTAATTTAGATTTGCTTGAAGACCATTAGTAAGTTGGTTTCAAACATTGATTCCTGCATTTCATGTTTGATAGTTGCATCTTTTAACAAGATTTTTTTTTTTTTTTTTATCGATATGATCTTTTAATTAGTATGGACATAGTGTACTTGATGTCTATTTTTAACTATTTTTCATTAAATTTCTTCATAAAATGTTATGTCTGTTAAAACTTGGATACATTTGTATATACTTGTCAACGGTTTTTTGTCTGAATAATTGTGATTTTATTTGGCTAAAAAAAGAAATTTAACATAATATGTCACCTAGATAATTGGATTAAATTTAATATAATTATCTTCCCATGATCACAGGTACTTTGACATTTCCTGACCTCAAAACAAATGGAATGTCTCATCATCAATCAAGGTGAGGAAAAATTAAATGTTTTAATTGATTATTATTTTTTTTTATTATTGGGATTTGTGGCATCAAAATCTAAATAATTAATTTCACCATTTATATGTACAAATTGTTATGTCATTATGGAAATCGTTGTTTACCTCATGTTCCAACTATGTTTAATATAATTAAAATTACATAATACTGTCGGTTTCAATTCTTACCAGGTTATCAAGTACCAGTATGTACCTATATATCTTTTAACAATTTGGATAGTTTTATCAATTTCCAAAATACCAATACAAACCAAATTATGAAATACCTATTCCCTTTCAATAAATTAAATAGTTTCTTACTAAAGGACTGCTTCTGTCACATCTATTCCATTGTATATTTTGTGGACATGTTTTCTAGGAATAAAATTCGTAACCGCAGTGGTTTTGCAGTTAAGGCAGGGGTTTTGGTAGCCCACAAATTGAGTAATACTTCTGAAATAAGGTTTGATCATTTTACTGAAAAGAAAATATTGGCAATAATTACACAACACCAGAAAATATTAATATTGCAATTGAATTAACTTGGTGAATTGAGAATAACGAGGCTTTGTATTTACTTGGGTTGCACATATTGTTGGTAGACACAGACTAATACTAATTATCATTACTCTTTGTAAATCACAAACACATTTAAAAAAGTGAAATAATAAGCCCATTATTATATTGTAAATGTATTTATTATATTATGTTGGACAGAGGTTAAAAAACTAATTTAGTTTTAATTTAATATCAACATGTAGAATATATTCCTGCTCTTTTGATTTTAACTAACAACTTTTTGGTCTACAACTAAATATTTTATAAACACAAACATAATATAAGCAAGTAGATAATTAATAATAATGCTCAATATTCAAGTACTGTTATTACTACAGTATTTAATGGTTCATCCTTTATGTTGGTTGGTGTTATAGGATAAGAGTAGCATTGTTGCTAAAACAAGCTGTTGTATATAGGCTATATTACCTATGCTAGCTATAAATGGTTCAGTGAATGAAATAACTATTTAATTTGCTGGTACTGTATCTTGCATTCTTTAAACAAAAATAACTTTTAAATATAGATGAATGTTTTTGTCTATTGCTGTTGCAATAATTATATTAATCATATTTGTTGAATCTTCTCATAATTATACTCTTTGTTGATAAATGATAACATCATCATTAACCATGATCATATAGTTACTTTGCATACAATTAACACTTAATCTATGTGAGCATATTCTTAGTCAATATCTATATCAAAGTATTGTTGAAATCTCATAATCTACCATCATCATCATCGTCATCATCACCATTATTATCATCATCATCACTTATCTTATATAGTTTTCTTAGTCATTATCATCAACATTTTCATCATCAAAATTACCAACATTGTATTCCTCAAATATTATTTCCATCCTAAATTCATTTGTGGTTTCTCCTAAGTTCTTCACATTATATATTTTGTTTGTTCTCCAGTCATGTTAATTGTGCATGTCCTTTTTTTAACACTTTAGTAATGGTTCGAGTCCAGGCAGTAAGGGCCAGGATACAAGCTCAGAAAATGATGAAATCTTATTGGATACCACAGGAATGTTTCACTGGACACCAAGTAGACCAATCCACAGTACAGTGCTTGTAAGTATAAAAGCTAAGATCCCCCACTGCCGGCCAGAAATTTGAAAAATACCCCATAAAATAAATTAAAACCTTGTATAGTTCATTTAAAAGGATCATATAGGTTTTTAACTTCCAACTAGAAACAGCTGCAAAAAAATTTATTGTTATTGATTTACAGATTTTTTTACAAAAATCCTTCAATTGATTACCGACCAATTTAAGGAAATTACTTTTATGAATTGTTTGAATGAATCTGCTTTAGATTTGTTTTTATCTGGGATTGTCAACGTACGTCATATTTGTAGCATTTGTTTAGGCCATGTATTGAAATATGATTAAACCTAATAGCAGGATTAAGAAATATAAATTCTGACCATTATTTCCTTTGGTTTTTTGTTTAGAAACGTGACGAAGCTGCAAAAGATCCATCTCTCAATGGGCACGTTGTTGTCTGTCTGTTTGGTGATAAAGATACACCAAAAGTTGGTCTACGGAATTTTGTAATGCCACTTCGAGCCAGCAATTTCCATTACCATGAACTTAAACCAATCGTGTTCATTGGCAATCTAGAGTTCATATCACATGAATGGGATATGCTAAAGAATTTCCCAAAAGTGTATATATTGAATGTAAGATAATAAACTACATTTTAATTGATTTCTTTTTATATACCATTGTTTTATAATGACATTCAAATGTGAAGTCATGTGTTATGTGATAAGAGCATATCATAAAATTAGGGGTTTTTTTGTCAAAAGGTGGTAGGCGGACAGCAGAAACAGGGTTCTTAATTTATTTTTTCAGGCTGCAACAAAATCACTGTCGGGCAGCATATGGCCAACAGGCTGCGCTTTACCCACCTGTGCTTTACCTAGTTTGATATAATTTCTCTTTGGTAGGGATCACCATTGAACCGTGCTGATCTCCGTGCCGTTAATGTTCATCTATGCGACATGTGCGTGATTCTGTCAACAAACAATTTCAGCGTGGAGGACCAGTCACTCCAGGATAAGGAGACAATTCTAGCCTCGCTCAATATAAAAGCAATGACATTTGATGACACAGTGGGTCTCCTGCAAGATAAAACACCAGGTGAAGTCTCAAATCCCCACACTTCAGCTCCAACCTTCCGGCGTATACCGATAGCCGAGGAGGAGATTGATGATGGGGAGGCTGTTTGCGATGAGACAGTTTGGCTTCGCATATCTGAGCATGCTGCTTGCCCCCCTTCTGGTAGCCCTCATGATACCTCTCATACGTTTCACTCTTCTATTAATGGTAACAATGATGGTGAGTTTTCATCTCTGCACCCTTCGTTCTCACTTATAACCTGGTTTCTCAGAAATTAAAACTATTTAAAATAATTTTCTGCAATGTGCACCACTTTTAAAAAAATTCAAAAATGTTAAATATATTTTTAATAATTACATAAAAATATTTTTTAAATTAGTATTAATTATTTGAATTTTATTATTTTATATATACATGTTTCTTTTGATTACTTATTGAATTAATGCATATTCTGAAAGTGTAATATTATTGTACATAATAACTCAAAATTTTGACATTTGATTATTATTAATCTATAATGGGAAATAATACTATCAACATATAACTATTAATGTATCTAAAAAAAGTCGTCCAAAAATATACAAAGAATAAAAATATTTTATTATTTTTAAATATTTTATTTACAATAAACTTTGGATATTTCATTTGAAAATTAATTTTGGCACAGATGGTTAAATTCATGATCATTATTTTAAACCTATCTATGTCTATGTTTTTAAGAAAAAAAAAATGACCCCTTTTAGTTGGTGAGTTATGCATTTCTTTAACAAAAATGCAATTTGTTGTCAATTAATCGTATGAAAATTTTTGCTTTTGAGCGGGAAACCAGGAGTGAGTCATGCAACACTTTTTTCCTAACTTGACCTTTCACCTTTGTTGTTTGTTATTAGTGTTTTACATCTACCATTCTATGTTTCTTTATTGTTTCTTATTTCCATTGCATTGCATTATTTAACTACATTTCAGTCTCATACCACTTCAATATACAGAAGTATAAAATTAAAGCAAAATATATTTTGATGTATAATGTAATAAATAATGGAATTAAATGAGTCTTAATTATCATTATATATGTCAATCTCATTGTTCATATATGAATGGTGTAATTTATACATTAATTAACTTGCTATTTCATGATATAATATTTACCTTTTATTTTTTTGTCATAATTGCAACAAACATATAATATTTATTGTCATTTTTACCATCTTTCATCATCATCATTGTAATGGTTCAATGTCTATTATACCAGTTGCTTTGGTTATAGTGGTAATAATAGTGAGCAAATAATGTAACATATTTATATGTTGTTTAGCAAACTATAGTTTTGAATAGTCTTCAGAGGGGGGTGTAAAGAGTATAAAAATAATTTTTTTTTTTTAATTTAAAAAGGCTTTACCAAAGGCATCAGACAGGAAATATAAAAATATAAACTGTTCTGTAATTGGACTGATAAATGCTTTATAAATATTTTTATCATGACATATTGTGGCAGCAGCAGGCCAAAGAAGGTGTTTACATTATTCATCAATGTTTAATCTCCTGTACATGGTTTAATTTGAAGCGACTTTAATTCACATACAGCATGCCTGTCAATCTGTTTGTTTCACACTTTATTCTGTTGCAACCCACATTTCAATAAATGATCTGGATTTTGAAAACCCTTTAATATATTTGCACCAATTTCAACATCATAATTTATTGAGATATTTTGACAATGCATAAAGGAAATTGGATAAAATGTATGTTGAAAAATTGCAATCATTTTTTTGCCAAAATCCATAAATTATATTCAAAGCAAGACAAAGTTGAATCTAAATCGCATGGTGATGTTTTAATATATGATGCCGCCTAAATCTAACCCTCACATTTCTGCTAGTAAATTTAAGGAATTTTATGAATTGCAAATTTTTTTTCTGTAACTATTATATATATGTATATATGTAATGTAATTTTACATTAAGTTATAATAATAAACATAATAAAATAAAAAAAGATATTAATAAGAAATAAATGAATAGAATACTTTTTTCAAAGCAGAACTTTATTTTTAAAAATATATTAAAAAATATGCTCGTCTTCATCTCTAAGCTTCATTAATTTATAAATCATAGCTGGTTGCTGTAGGAGCAGTAGCAAAAATCTGGTTTCCATAAAAATGCTCCATGTTATTGCCAACAGCTGTCAGTGGTGTTCGGAGCAATTTTATTGGAATACTTGGGATGAATCGAGGAGCCAAAATCTATGCAATGTAGCAATTTCAGTAAAAGCACAGTAGTGACAGTAGCCAGTTCAGTGAAAGCACAGTAGCAACAATATGAATTCCAGTAAAAGCACTGTTGCGACAGTGTAGCAACTTTATTGAAAGCACTGTAGCAACAGTATTAATTCCAGTGAAAGCACTGTCACGACAGTGTAGCAATTAGATTAAAAGCACTGTAGCGACAGTGTAGCAATTTCAGTAAATGTACTGTAGCGACAGTCGAGCACTGTCATTGAAAGCACTCTAGTGACAGTGTAGCAATTTCAGTAATGGCTTTGTCACAACAGTAGCATTTTCAGTGAAAGCACTGTGGCGACAGTGTAGCAATGTCAGTGAAAACACTGTAGCGGCAGTATGGCCATTTCAGTAAAAGAACTTTAGCGTCAGTATAGCAATGTAGTGGCGGTGTAACAATTTTTAGTAAAACCACTATAGCGGCAGTGTAGCAATTGTAGTGAAACCACTGTAGCAACAGTGTAGCAATTTTAGTGGAAGCACTGTAGCGACAGTGTAATGATTTTATGGGAACCAGGCTTTATGCTAAATGAAAAAAGAAATAATAATAATTACTTAAAAATTTGTCATTTAATATGCAAGATGAACAAACAAGAGATACATAAACTGTAACAGGACAGAAACATAAACATTACAGAAAAATAAACAAATGGTCTGCTTGTTTCTTTTATGATTGCTTATTAACCATTCTCGCTGCTTTCTAATGGTGTTGTGACCATACATGCTGTCACATGTTGTGACCATTCATAGTGTGGACTGCAGTTTGACATGTTGCGACCATGCATTCTGTAGTGCTGCAACCATACATGCTGAGGTGTCACATGTTGAGACCATATATGTTGTGGTTTCACATTTAGCACCTGCATGTTGTGGTATCACATGTTTGACCATGCATGGTGTAGTGTGATATGTTGTGAGCATGATGTTGTATCACATGTTAAACCATAAATACTGTGTGGCATGCCACATGTCGTAACCATGCATGGTGTCACATATTGTGCCATGCATGTTGAGGTGTCACATGTTATGCATGCATGCATGCTGTAGTGCCACATGAGACCATGTGTGTTTCTCACATGTTGTGACTGTATGTTGGTGTCACATGCTGTGACAAAGTATGCTGTGGTGTCACATACAGCCATGCATGCTTGGGTGTATGTGGCACATAATTATGTGATGGTTCTGCTTGCATTTCTTTGCTTACAATTTTTGCTTAACTTATTGCTAACCTTTCACTTTCCAATTGCCTAAGCATGCTCAGACTAAGCTAAATTATTATGTCTCTGCTACCAGTTGGATGATTTTGTCTCTGCTACCAGTTGGTTGATTTTTATATATGATATGACATGATATGGTTTTAACAATACATTGATAAATATATAACACTTTTTAACATGCTTTCTATTAGAGAAAATGTGTAATACTTAAGCTTTAATTTGATTTCATCAGAGCTAAAACCCATTCAATAACAATAACAACAATAGTAACTTGCCAAATAATATCAGCATAGACAAATAAGCTATCACTAAAACATTGTACTTAATTGTAATAATTAGATATCAATATGATGAATCATATATTATATGTATTTTTTTTTGAGAAGTTTCTTTGTAACAAATCTAATGTCATGTGATATATCATAAATTAATCTTTAAAAATCACCAAAGGTTTGTATGAGCTATAATAGAATTTACTAGAAAAAAACAAGCAACAATATTATCTTAATCCTATACTTATATGATCTGCTAACAATGTCAAGGCTGAAAAAAATCAGTCGCGACACACGGAATATAATTTTTTTTTTTGCTTGACAAAAAACAATAACATCACACCCTACATTTTATTTTGTCCATGTTAATAAGATATGTACTCAAATATAATTTTACTGCTTTCAAGCAGTGCATGCCATGCCATTTATATTTTTTACTGTCAAGTAAAAAATGATTTGATTGTTGAGGTTCAAGACCTCATTACACTAAGTTAAACTTCGGTATCTTAGTGCATTAACATTGTTGACACATAAAATTGAATTAGGTTTACTAGGTATACATTTTCTGCAAAAAAAATTGTAAATGCTAAATTAAGATTCATTTTCACTGGAATTTTTACTTTGATTTTGAACTGATGTAAATATATTTGGAATGATTTCAAATAAAACAGTTTTTACTAAATTCTAATGTATCTTTCAACACTTGTGAGTACATTTCCATACTCCATTACATTCTGCATCTACATTCACAACATACTATTCATTTAACATAACACCACATGTATCCATGTCATTCAAATATTTTTTTCTGTTTTAATGATTGTGTTTTGAATTTGTTGACAGAGTTTATGCCTTCCATATTGCCACCCATCCTCAGTAGCCCAGTCCAACCACAGTTTCCCAAAGTGGAACGCTGTGGATCAATGGTTGGTGCGAATGTCCCTATGATCACAGAGCTCGGTAAGTAGCCATAACATAGAACATAGAATTAATGATACAAATAATATGTAAGTGTTAATTCAATAAGTGAGCAAAGCTTCTTTTTTTCTTTTTTAGTTAGGGGGTATTAGCCTTCCCACCACTGTCTTCCAGTTTAGTCTCTTGCATTCTAATATTTCTCAAAGTATTGATAGTTTGTTGCCGCCTGGTTTGAGGAAGACTGATTTGAATTAATTTTTGTTCATTCAAAAAAATGAAAGTATGTTACTTGCTATTGAGTGGTTGTGGTTCTGAGACAAAAAAAAAAAAAACTAATCGAATTGCAATATTTATTTAAACTGTTACTTGATAGGAAGAGAATATAATTTTGAATGAATATACATATTCATTTAATTTGTAGTATAGATCAAGATTTACAATAAAAAAAACAGTGACAGTATATTTTGTAAAAACTTGTGAAAATACTGGTCATGTGGTGCTTAAGCAAAGCGCATGGACATTACTCAATTGAAGTTACCCTTAAAACAAGGACACCTCCCCAGGGTACAAAGGAATCTGCATAATTTAACTCACTTTGCAATGACCAGCTGGGAAAAAGAATAAACAGTTGAAAATTACAAGACATTTAAAATTTCACTTTGATATAAATAGTAGAGTATTATTATTTATGATATAACATCAAAGTGAAAGTCCCTCATGTTTTTTCATTATATTTTCCTTTTAGTGAACGATAACAATGTTCAGTTTTTGGACCAAGACGATGACGATGATCCTGATACGGAACTATACATGACCCAACCTTATGCTTGTGGAACAGCCTTTGCAGTCAGTGTATTAGATTCCCTAATGAGCGCGGTGAGTTTTAGAGAAGTGCAAATATTGCCTCATAAAATCTATTTGGCATTTGTTTTTTCATTTAATGATGTTTTTTTAGTAATCAAATATTCATATATATTCTGTCTTCAGAATAACTGTGGAATGTCCAAATATAATATCAGTTTTCCTACAATTTAGAAAATATTTATTGACTTTTATGATACTCAATTGTTAGTTTATTCTCGTACTACACAATATACCAATAATAATTATCTTTTTATAATTTTGCTATTTATTGCAGACATATTTTAATGACAATGCTCTAACCCTTATCCGTACCTTAATCACTGGTGGTGCTACCCCTGAACTTGAACAGATTCTGGCAGAGGGCCGAGGCATGCTTGGTGGACCAGCTTCACCCGAGACAATAGCCAATCGTGACCGGTGTAGAGTGGCCCAGTTACCTCTGTATGAAGGATCCTTTGCAACCTATGCTGTAAGTACACAGATCTAGTCACAGTGAAGTAGTTGTTCATAGCTGGGACTAGTACTTGCCTTCCTTTTCTTAAGCTGCACATGGAATCCAAACTGAAATAAGACCACATTTCCGAAGTGCTTAATGTCAGCATCCCTATTCTTACACACTGATTGTGTAAGACTTTTGCAAGTTGATTGGCCGAGCAGTTAAGTCAGGGGCACCATAACCTTCAGCTATAATATCGGCGCTGGTTCGAACTGCTGGTGGAACAAGTCTTCTCAGATAAGGACTTTAATCTGTAGACCCAGTGTACGCATTTGGCTCATGTGCACTGCTATAGCTGTGTTTATGCAAAAGCAAGAAGAGTGAACTCCCCCTACCTTCTTGCTCCAGACCTTAACATTTGGCGCAGGGGGAACAGTTTGATTTCCCAACCTCGAGGTCGGGGTTTCAATCCCTCGCTGTGCATTTTGCTTGTGTCCTTGAGAAGGCATTGTATCTGCATTGTTACTTTCCACCCATTAGTATAAATGGGTACCTGGTGGGGTTGCCTGCTCCTGTGCTGCAACGCTTAAAACATGTGCACCTAATGACAAGGAGTTGATCTAGGATGTTTCTACCATGCAGTGGTGGCTCCAGAAATTTGCATACAAGGTGTCCGACATGTCAAACAGCGGGGTCCGAACCAAGGTGCCAACAGAGCCTCAGATTTTCTAGTTAAACATAGCAATTGGATTGGATTTATTTGGTGTAAACACCAAGGATAGCCCACGAAAGTCTAGAAGAAGACTTATTTCCAGTGGGGTCCTTCTGGTCGTGATTGGACAGTACACCGGGAGACAATCCCCTACCCTTTTCCGAAGAGTGTACTGCATTCTTTAACGTGCACTAGTGGTGGCGCACCCCCTGTCGGGGCCTTTAGCCCCTCCATAGGGCAGGTCCTGGCGCCATCACTGTTGTGCACATGGGCCGTAAATGCACACAGGACCAACGGCTTAAACGTCTCATCTGAAAGACGGTGTGATATTTTAACTTGTATTTCACAAGGAGAGGCAGCGATGGGAATTGAACCGGGGACCTAAAGATCTCCACGGTTCAGCGCACACACAGTGGCTACCACCAGATTAGCTGACTGAGCTAAGCTGCTCTCTCAATTATAGAGAGGGTGGCTAACGATTTAACTGGGTTACAGATTTTAGAAATTCTCAGTTGCCTTTTAAACCTCAACAGCATTTGCCCCTAATATTTATATTGGAAATAATCAGAACAATATTTTGAAATGGTCAGAATGACAAGAACACTTTTCTCATTTTTATAGGATGGAGGTATGTATGGAGATTTATTTGATGATGCAATCAAGAACTATGGAATGCTATGCTTTGGACTATATCGTTTTCGCGATAGTGCGCCCAGCACCGAAACACCATCAGCAAAACGATATGTGATAACAAATCCGCCTTATGAGTTTGTACTAAAATCCACAGACTTGGTGTTCTGCTTGGTTCATTTTGATGGGGGTAGTCAGCAGAAAACAAAGAAAAAAAAGAAGAGGAGTAAGAGACACAAGGATGGGGAAAAACCCCCTTCCCAAGAGGTCAAATACCACCACCAGCATTCGCTGAATCCAATGGTATAAACATGGAAGATCTACAGTTTGGCAAAAAGTCACCCTGTCTTTAATACCATCATCAGTATTCTCTGAATCCAGTGGTATAAACATGGAAGATTTACAGACTTTATTGAGTAACAATGAATGCATGATTAATATTAATTAATCACTCTACTAGATAATTAAGAGAAATTTAATGAACTCTCTTTTTCATGCAATTTGGCAACAAATAGTTTTACTTGATGGAAATGTTATACCGATTAAGTGGTAGTTGTCGTTCTCATTTCAGTACTAATTAAATGGTATTAGCACAGTTTATTTTAAGCATTATTTCTTCGTTTAATTTAATTTAATTATTGCATTCCTGAATGTCTAAGGTAAATCTTTTTGGCAATGACTAAATGTTGAAAATATTATGCAAAGAAAGTCTCAATTGAATTCTTTTAAAGGTAATTTATTATTTCCTAGTACAGGAAGAAAAATAATTGTTGTAGAATGCAACATACATTCAAGTCAGGTTGTGACGTTCATTGACACAATGTTTATTATGAAACACAAATGTAATTAACATTATATTATTAAACACAAATGTAATTATCTATACATTTTAACTCAGCAGCATGGAATGAAGAGTTAAAGCCATTCAGAATAGTTGATAGTATTACTTAAGTATTTGAAATTGAAGGAATTGCTCTTCCTGGAACTTTGGGAAAATTTGCAGTCTATCTTCTGCTTGGATGCATTAATAGAAATCGTTTTTGTGTTTGTGTGAATTTAATAACGAAAGTGAAATCAAATTAATTTCAACATTTTACTGATTATTTATATTAAGTTTCATTTGATAGTATTTCTTCAGTTGTATGTGGAACAATATCAACAAAATTTTAACAAATATATATCATTGTTTACCTGATATTTAGAGACATAAGTGATGACAAACCTAAAATATATAGTCAAGTCAGAAACCATTGTAACGATATAGCTTAGCTGAATCTAGCATTTAAACATAAAGCAATTATATTATGCCTCTTCCTGCAATGTAATATTGAAAATACATCTGTCAAATTATTAACTTTCAGAAATGGGAAATTGTGAAAGGAGTGAAATCCACCTTTCTAACAATGTGTTGCTGTCTTTATTGATATATTATTTCAATTAAACGGACCAATTGAGGTTTATTTTTCGTAATCACTTTTTTTGTAATTTGAGTTTGGCTACTGCACAAGCGTACTTGAAACATCGGGGCCTTGGTTTGTCAAAGTAAGTGCTAAGAACAGTGTCTTAATTTAAAAGAAAATATTTCAAACAAATTTTATTATTATAATTTACATTGTGCAAATATTTTACTAGAGTTTGTCTTGTGTTGAATATATCATTGTAAATGAATGTTTATTAATTATGTCAGCATTTGAGAACAAAATAATATTTATGTATAAACTTAGTAAATTTTAGAAATAATAAAATTTAGTTTAATTTCTATTGATGTGCATGAAGGTGACCTTATGTTGGCTGGCATAGTTATCAGACAATTTACTACAACTACACATTGTTAAGATAAATCTAGTTTATGAATGGCTTTTAGAGTTGATGTTTATATACACTTGATTATTACTGAGGAATTCAATTTGTGAAGGTGGTAATTTAGATCAATTTATTCACATTAACTTTTAAAAATTTATAAATTTTACTACATGTAGATTGTCAAATTTTCCATTTTAGTCCCTGTTAATAAATGCTAATGAGTGAGTGCATATGCTAAATATTAATGGCATAAGAAAATAAACTTTGTTGAAAAATAATGCAACTGATCTGTGTAATTTTCCCCTGGATATTTTCATATCCACCAATCAGACATCAGTTTTTCAAAAATGTGACTTGTTTGCCCTTCCTTATGGTTCTTATAGCAAATAAGATATATGACTATGAAAGAAATATGCAAATTATAATATTGTAAATAGACTATTGATTGTAAACTAGATGCTTAGTATTTATCAACAAGACAAATGATGATTTTAAGTCAATTCTTGTGATTCACATTGATAGTGTTCTAAATTATTTTTGTGTGTAATGTTTTTTCCGTTTTATCAACATTCCTTAAGATGTACATATAAATCAGATCAGAAATATGTGTGTGCAATGTACAATATGTATGTAAAATATAAGAAGTAATCATATAATTATAATTCAATGTTAATTCAGTTACAGAGCAGACTAGAAGTCAGTATTTGAAAGCTGTACTTGCTGCATATGTCTTGTCAAGGTTATTCATCACTTCTATGTAGTTATCATTATAAAACATAGAGCAGTAAATTGAGTATATTGCTTCCCTGATGTCATTATCAAATCAAGGTAAACACCATTCACTACATCACTGTATAGATGTGTATAAGAGACAGATATATATGTATGTATATATATGTCAAGGCAATACTACAAAAGCACGCACATCTCGGGACGTCAAAATTGCAGTTTATAGAAGCATTGATTGAACAAGCTCGTGGTCAAAAGAAATGAGATGTAGCAGACATTGCGATGTACCCAAAATTAACAAAATAGTAACTAACACCATAAAACGCATGGCATGCATAGACTAATTATTGACGTCTGTACTCAAAACTAGTATTGGATTGTCGATGCCACAGTAATCAAAGGACTATATGCACACGCTATGTTCAAGAGTCCTTTTGTTGAATTGCCTTGCATATATACAGTATACTACAGTATACATATTACAGTATACATGATTACCTAGCGGTTTTCCTGGACAAAATTAATCAGATTTTTGAATAATTATACTTAGTTTCATAATTAATTAGCGTGTGGTCTGTGTCCTTCATTTACTTAGTTTATTGGACATGCTATTTAAAATACAAGATTACCTGTCCATAAGCTGTTACATTTATTGATTAGATTCATATAAATATATTATATATAAATATGTAGATTAAAGAAATTGATCTGGTTGGTTTAAAATAATAATATATTAACAATTACAAACTCATTGATTGAACTCAATTTGGATGTTATATCTTGATGTGCATTACACAATTATATTTAATACCAAATTTAAATAAATATCTGTTTTTCTTGGAATACTATTTCTTGCATTTGATTGTGATATCTATGGAAAACATCAGATGTTTATTTTAACTTAATTTACTCAATTACCAAGTCTTATATTGACCAATACTTGTATAGGATTATGTTTGAAAATCTTGATTATATGAGAGGTAGATAAAAGTACAAAATGCAATAATTGTAATAAGTGTGTAAGTGATATATTTCATAGTACAAACATATATATTATACAAGAATGAAGATAGCTTGAAATGTTAACTTATTAGAAAGTATTTCATGTTTGGTGAAAAATTTAATGCATTATTCTTTACCACAAATAACTATTGCATCAGTACTCAGATACTATTGGATATAATTTCAAGTTATTTTCAGTGAAACATATGTTAAAAAATGAATTTTCAAGTATGAATGAATCATTATAATAATTACCCTGAGTTAATTGCTAAAATTGCCTCAAATTAATCTCTGTTAAATTTGATTTTATTGACTAGTAATGCTTAACTAATGATATATTCAATAAATTTCCTGAGCATTCAGATATATACTGGCTACCAGAAGCATATCTTTGCCGAAGGTTTCTATTTCAGATATTCACCTATACAGTAATGTGCAGATAATGTCATTAAAACTTTACACGTGAATTGTATAATGATTGCTTGATATTGATAGTCAAACTTAGGTTAACATGTATAATCAGTATATGTATGTGTTTCCATTTGCCCTTTATTCTTCTCGATGTTCATTCGCAAATATGGGTTTTAATTGATATGTTTCAATATTGTGCGATAAATACAAGTTATCAATTTAATAAAACATAATTGCGCTCAATTTTTTCAGTGTCTATTTTATACAGTAGATTATTTTTTATTTTTTTTATTTTTTGATTATGAAATTTTACTCAAACCTGCAGCTTGATAGCCACATTGCCACATTTCATGTCTGATATTTGAGCATGGGCGTCGATCGGTGGGGCACATTCCCCCCACTTTTCAAAGTAGGGGGAAATCACATCAATTTCCCCCTCCCCAGTAGCATATCCATGGGCATATTATGTCATATTTCATAATTCATAATTTTATTTGCCTCACAAGGGCTGGAAGGTTACGAAGGGGGAAATATGGGGGTGTATTGAAATTGAAAAATCAAAGGGATGATTAATTAAGTGTTGTTGTATATCATCACTTTTTTAAGTTTTGAAAGAATTTCATGGAGCTTCAAGAATTGTATAGATGACAAATTTTCATATTTAAGTTTGTCAAGTTTTACGTTAAAATTTATATTCCACACTTTGAGCCATAGAAATTGAAAACAATAGGGGGTATTTAAATTGAAACAAAAGGGGTAAAGTTAATTGGGTAGAAGATTAGGAGATTTATAAATTTAAAACAAAAGGATGATAAAGATTTTTCAAAGTGGGGGCCCACTAGTAAGGTGAATGGGAATATGAAAAAGGGGGATCTGGGTTCAGATTTAGGGGGTAGGGGTCAAAATTTTTCCCATAAAACCCCCCAAAAAGGAAGGGGGTCCTAGATGGTGGGAAATGAGCTTTCCTATCTTTTAAGCCAGGTGTCTTTTAATGAATTTTAAGTTCTTCAAAATTCAAGGTTTTCCCCCTCTTGAAAAACGGTCAGGTAAATTATTTTCATTCTTAGAGTAAATAGGTCTTATGTGTGTATACTTACATAAAAGAAAAAAATAGTAGTTGCATACATATTCTTTTTTCCATGAATCGATGAATCCCAAAAAAGAAAGGGGGGGAGGTGTCTGTGGGATACCCCCTCCCCGCCAAAACAAATTTTGATTCCTAGATGGCAGGATATGAACTTTCCCGACTTCTGAGGTGTCTTTTAATGACTATTAAGTTCTTCCCCTCTTGAAAACGATTCTATGAATCAATGAACCCAAAGAAAAAGAACGGTTCAGGTTATCCACGGGAAAATTTCGAATTCTAGATGGCGGGGAAATGAGCTTTCCCGACTTCTGAAATATTTTTTTATTGACTTTTATGGTGTTCCGATTGATTTATTTATTATATTTTCTGATATTTTATGTGTACTTCTCTGAATGGAGGTTCTGAATAAATTGAATACAGTTCTTAAAAATTCAAGGTTTTCCCCTCTTGAAAACTGTTAGGTAAATTTTTTTAAATTGTTATTACAGTAAATAGTAAAAGAAAACTGACTCAAAACTGAATGAATGCGGTCCAGGGTCAGATGAAAATGATAATGGGAAAAGCGAGCATGATTATGATTACCAGGATAAAACATTTTATGATGAGTGGCAGATTTAAGGGAGCCGAGCCAGCTCAAACTCTTTAAATTTTTTTTTTTAAATTATAACTAGTGGAGAAAAAAGAAAACTATATTGTAATTTAAGTCTGAGAGTGCCATTTCTGGCCAAGAGGTGCAATAATCATAAATTTTCTTACCTCAGTAACACTTATCCCTCCCTGGGCCCCCTCTATTTTTCGAATTCCTGGATTTGCCACTGTTGAAATTGTAGTATGTGGAATTAATTTTAATTGCATTCAAAATTAATTAGATGACTTATCTTTAGACGCCAGAGCTTCCGGGTGCTTTTCCCCCTGGACCATCACTGGGGGGGGGGCCTAAGTTGCCCTCAGCCAACGCTTGGGCCTACGGCAATTTGTCTTCACCACTCTTCACAACATATCGACTCACTTGTGTTTGAGCATGTTTGAGAATAATTTATATTCTAAAGTGAATATAACTTGAGGCGTAAAATAATACCAAAGCCAATGTGTGTTCAAACAGCGCAAAGATTTAACAAGCTGATCGGCAATTAGCTTAACTGAAATATTAAGGGGATACTGTATAATGAATTAAAATAACCAAACAAAAAATAAAAGAAATAATATTAATATTTAACAACAATCTTTTCAAGATAAGATAAGATAAACTTTTATTTGTCCAAACATTAAAACATGTTGGAAATTCGTTTTCCATAGCGTATTTACATATAAAATACTGTACATAGTAAAAATCAATTAAAAAACATATGAAATACATGAAAATACATAAAATATTATTCTTATCACAATTATAATCATTATTACAATCATTATCATTACGATCAATGCTCTATTATGAATGTTTTATATTTATTATTACTACTACAACCATCATCATTAATACCAAATTATCTAGATGCATATTTATTATATAATCTAATTGAGTTCATTACAAATGAAAAATTGTGTCTGTTGTGTGTCGAACGAGGAGCTCGTAATCTCGGACCAGAACGCATAAATACATAGTGATTATGTAAAGGGTGGGATTCGTCCAACATAATTAACATTCTCCTCATATAGAGCATTGATCGTAGTGATATCACAACCAATGCACCGTTTTGCCGACCGTCTTACTCTCTCAAACTTGTTCTTATATTCTTTACTCTGTATAACCGATATATAAAAAAGTAATAAAATTGATTTATTTAAAAACAAGCTTCCTAACT